AATTATCCTGTCCCTTATAATAAAGCCGTTTTGGCCTCCAACGTTCGATGTGTGCCAACAGTGGTTGGCGGCACGAACTGCCACTCAGCATCTGCCTGCAAATCAGGAGAAGCCTGCGTCCTGCCCATACCCACACCACCACAGCCCCCAGCTTCAGAGGCCTGCGGGGGAAGCAGGTGAAGGGCGGTGGTGCTGAGCCGGCCGCTGCGGGCCCGTTTTTGCCCCCCCCCCCCCGGTTTCAGAGGCCTGTGGGGGGAGCAGGTGAAGGGCGATGGCGGCGGCACTGAGCCGGCCGCCACGGGCCTGTTTCCCCCCCCCCGGCTTCAGAGGCCTGCGGGGGGGAGCAGGTGAAGGGCAGTGGCGGTGGCGCTGACTGAGCTGGCCGCCGCAGGCCCATTTTCGCCTCTCTCCCCCCCCCCCGGCTTCAGAGGCCTGTGGGGGGGAGCAGGTGAAGGGCGGTGGTGGCGCTGAGCCGGCCGCCGCGGGCCCATTTATGTCTCTCCCCCTCAGACTTCTATCCTCCCACCCTTCCTACCTTTCTAAGGTTCGTTGTCTTTCTCCGCAACGGGCTTTGCTCCCTATTATATGCATAATATATTACCCTTTCTCCCCCCATTTTTCCAAAGGGTATGTGACCAGTATGGTTCTGCCCTTATCCTCACAACCACCCTGTAATGTATATTAGGCTGAGAGGGAGTGACGGATTGAAGGTCATGTGGCGAATGTCATGGCAGACTGGAGATCTGAAGCTGGGGCCCCTCCTGCCCTTGAACTACCATACCATACTGGTTCCAAAATCATATTAAAACTCCAAATCATATTAACATATTTATTTCCATCTTTCTTTGAGTATGCTCAAGGTAGCTTACAGCAGACCTCCAAACAACAGAAACAACAAACTGATGAGTTATACTTCAGAAGCAACAGTAGCATTTTTTAAAAAAACTGTTCATAAAATTGTCTAATTCGTATGCGGTTCTTAGACTATCAACGTCAATAAAGTTTTATAAAACCTTCAGCAGCATCTAAAACCTGGGAATAAAACTCCTCCTGACATCTTTAAAAAGGCTTTGAAGAATGAAAATGCTGTCCCTGGCATCTAAAACTTAGTAAAACTGGTACTAGGTAAGGCCTCTTTGGAGAAGGAGTTCCAGAGTCTTGATGCCACATGATGACTTCAGAAAGTGGTTGGGTGGGGAATACCTGGAGCAAAGGGTGTGAAGAGCATCTTAACCAACAGGCAGGTTCATCTGGAAGAACTTGGTCCTTTAGGAACTCTGGTTGGAGACTGTATAAGGGTTTGTAGGGCTTAAGATTGTGCTTATAAGCATGGGGAGACAATAGCAACTCTTATCTGGCATATGGGAATCAAGCCACTGATTCCTGGTAACCTAGCCAGCTCGCAAGGGCTAATACGTTCAGTGGTACTGAAAGCTGCCAAGAGATCCAGGAGAGTCAACAGAGTACCCCTCCCCTTGGATCTTTCCCAAAGGTGGTGAAAGTAGAAAAGTGGACCCTGACACAAAAAGGTTGAGAATGGCCAACTTTAACTATCTTGCATGTTACCCGAAAAGAGTGTGCCAGACTCTTTTAGAGGTTTAGCCAAAGAATCTGACTTCATTTCCACTGTGGAAACATCTTGTGAACTGAAATGTGTTAAATGTCAGATTCCTGTACATTTGTTGAGGTTTTAACTTCTTTTTGTTTTTACCGTTGATTCCTTTCTTTCCTCCATTTTGTAAACTCAGTAAATGGATGATAGTAAGTCTCCCTGTGAACTTTATGTTGTTCTGTGTTTTTGTAATGGAAACTTCCTAAATCAATGGTTTTCAAACTAATGCTTGGACATCATCAGCTTGTCTTCTGAGGGATCCACTGTCACTGCAGAACTGCAGCTTGTTGTAACATCTGAGATCTTTTAAAATATTTACTTCATTTATACTTTTCTCCCCAGTGGGGATCCAAAGTGGCTTACAGTATTCCCCCCTTCTCCATTTTATCCTCCCAACAAACTCTGTGAGGCAATTTGGGCTGAGAGTATTTGACTGACCCAAGGTCACCCAGCAAGCTTCCATGGCAGAGCAGGGATTTGAACGTGGCTCTCCCAGATCCCAACCTGACACTTTGACCACGACACCATGGAGAAGGGAGCACATTCTTGGGTACCTGCTCACTGTATCTGGGACACTGGCCAAATTAGTTGAGCTGTACTGTAGCGTACCCCATAACACATCCCAAACTCTTGGAGGGGGGGTGTTGAAGGTTACTTTCCATTCTTACCTTATTGTTGAGGAATCCCTGGTAAGAGTTTGAGTAATCCAAACATTCCTTCATACACAGTCCTGAAAGCCACTAATCTAAATGAAAGGCCAAAACATCAAGTATTAACAGACGGTGAATAAGTAAATACAAATAAGGCATAATATGAACAGAGTCAGAGATTACGCAGTATTGGAATATGTTGGCAAAGTGCAGAGTTTTTTGTTTCTTCAAAATGTTATGACATCATACACTCCGTTTTTGAAGGATGTCTTTTGTGGCATCTTTTATGGGGCTTCTCAAAGCAGCTGCTTACATGCCGCATCCCTGGCAGGGACTCGTGTTGGTATGGAGATGTGAGCACACTAATTGCAGTCAGCACAATTCATATGTTGTGCCATGGTACGTTATAGCAGAGAACCATTTTTGTCTCATCTTTCGTTTCCTCTAAGCATTATGGGCTGCTGTGGCTACACAGGAGATGTAGGACTCAGTTCTTTGGATTTCTTCTGTAATGCATTTCCGCTGTTGCTGTGACCTGCAATGTGAGAGGGAGCACACTAGTTAAACATGTGCTGGTTGGGTGGGTGGTCCCGTTTTTGTGGCAGGGAACTGCATGCTTTTTAACCTTTTCTACTCCACAAGGATCTGCTAGGAATATGTTATAGAAATCATATCACTGCCTATTTTCTGTAATTTATTACAGCTGTCTACTCATTACATTTAAATAAGATTGTTCTTTACGAAGCCTCTAAAGACTGTGGCCTGGATCCATAAGCCTTGCTTCTTTGTGTGGTGGTTAGGAGCTTTGAGGTAGTCGTCCACTGCAGAGTGGTTTCTTCTGCTGCTAGTTGCTCTTCGGCTCATTGAAAGACTCTGGGGTTGCACAGATGGAAGCTACAAGCACCTAAAGGATGGTGTAGTGTAAACAAAAACAAGGTTTAGGGTTCCAGCCTGTGAGACTTGACATCATGTGAAAGTACAAATGCTGTGCCACTGTTTTTTCCCCAAATCAAGAATTTTTGCCCCTCCCTCTTTTTGCCTGAGAAAAGACCAAAATAAAACCTGTGATACACAATGGATCATAAGTCAGTGAGAACTGAACTTGCTTACGCCAAAAACATTCTTGGCCTTGAGCCATTTCCCATTACACAGCTGTGTATATTCAGAATAAAGCAGTTTGTAGTTCCTCTTTCTCTCCCCCTTCTGTGCAAATTTAGAAGTGTATGTCAAATATAGATTTAAAAAACAACAACAACAGCATTGAGCTTTGGTCCTGTCATTATAATTTAAGAATACACTGGCTGAACCTTTTATGCAGGTGGATACTAAGTATCCTGATTTGTAGAGCAAGTTTTGTCCTGTTGGTTTCTGTAATTCATAAGGTCCATCACCATTTGTAACTATTCTTGCACTTTGCTGGCACTTCTTGTAGTGTTGTTGGCCTGCCCTGGCAGTATATTTCATTATCTGCATTAAAACAATATATGGAAGAGTTCTATGGAGCTCATATTTTCTAATATACAGTGTTTCCCAAACATCTGATTAGCTGAGGCAGCAAAGGAGCTTTTTCTGATTTAAAATTGGAGTACTTCACTCTTAACACCTAACAAGCGTTATTTTTAGGATGTGTTACCAATAAGAATTACATGCTCTCAATGGAGTTTACCTCCTGGGTTTTTGCCAAGAGTCTCCCTGTCTCCTGAACGGGGAAAGAGGCAAGCCCAGATAAGTGATTTGTGCAGAGAAACAATGGGCAGCCTCCTCCTATAAGGGCAGCTAATTCTGCTGTATCTTTGTGTGAGAAATGAATGAATGGTCCTGTCTCACACAGTGCTGAATAAGACAACCCAGTGACTGATTGGACAGAGGCCAAACCAATGCAACAAAACATGCAGGGATGCAACAGGTAGCCTCCTCTTTGGGCCAACAGGTGCCTTCAATTATTTAATAGTCTTACTATTTCCTATAGAACAGAGTTTGAAAAAGGATGCAGATATTGCCACAATATTTTTTAAAAGTCACCTGTTGAAGCATTTCACAGCAACAAGGTTACAGTTGTCTGTATATCACTGACAGCACTAGAAGATCTATAATTCTTTTTCTGTTTGGGCTTCAGGTCCTAGCATCACTCTAGGTAGGTATCTGACAAAGGAGCTTTGACTCTCGAACGCTTATACCCCAAACATCTTGTTGGTCTCTCAGGTGCTACTGGACTCAAATCTAGCTATTCTTGGTAGGATCATGGCATCCTCCTAAATGAAGTCATTAAGGCTAAGTAAGGCTCACTGTGTTCATTGGTACTTATTCCCTGGTAAAAGAGAGTGGGGCTGCAGTGAATGAAAAGATCTGAATTGAAACCAGGCAGGAGGACAGAGGCTGGCAGTCTTCCTCGGGGAGAGCGTTCCACAGCTTAGGCACTGCTGGAGTGAAAGAGGTCTACTTATGCAGAATTTTCCTTATGGAAGGCAGAGATATGGGACACTGCTTCTTCCAGGCAGTTTGAGGGGGACAAGATGCCCCCTAATATATGGCTTGGTTGCAAATGCAAAACGTTTTTAGTTGCTTCAGACAGAATGAAATCCATGCTAATGGAAGAGGGTTGTGGGGAGCCTTATCAGGACCTTCAGGTAACATTGACAGTTGAGGTTGCAGCAAATGTTATTGGAGATCTTTGTAACGGCAGCTCCTCAGCTTGAATCTTTCCTTTCCAACATATCCTTAATTTCTTTCTAGTTACCATCATGTCCACAGATGGCAGCTTTGGTGCAGGGGGCAACAGTGACGCCCAGCAATGCCTTCAGTCTTTCTGGCCGCGGGTCATGGAAGAGATTCGGAACTTAACTGTGGTAAGATATTGATTACTTTTAAATGATTTTATGCCACTTTCTTCCCTCAACAAATCCATTTTCAAGGCAGCTTATAAAAAGTACCACAAACAATTTATAATTAAAATCCCAACACTAGTTTAAACACCATCTAAGACATGGTTAAAATAGGTAAAGTGGCAGGTCAACAGGAAGGAAGGAAGGAAGGAAGGAAGGAAGGAAGGAAGGAAGGAAGGAAGGAAGGAAGGAAGGAAGGAAGGAAGGAGAGCAATAGAACCTCAGAAGTGAATCAAGACCAGAATACAACAACAAGACCCCCAAAGGCCTAGGAAAATAATACTGTCCTTGTCTGTTTGTTTGGTATCCCTTAAATAGCATTTTGGAACATACAGGCAATGGTTTGCAGAGGTTTGTATTTTCTGTGAGACTCATGATGACCCTGTAGGGTTTTCAAGGCAAGAGAAGTTCAGAGGTGGTTTTCCATTGCCTTCCTCTGTGTAGCAACCCTGTAGGGTTGCCAGCTTCCAGGTGGGACCATGGGATCCCCTGGAATGATATCTCATCTCCAGACTACCAAGAGATCAGTTCCACTAGAGAAAATGGATGTTATGGAAGGTGGACTCTATGGCATTGTACCCCACTAAGGCCCCTGACCTCCCCAGGCTCACTCCCCAAATCTCCAGGAGTTTCCCAGCCTGGATCTGGCAACCTCACCCCTATCCCCCACTGTGGGCCAGGTGGGACCTGGCAACCCTATGACCCTGGTGGTCTCTTATCCATACACAGAGTTACATAATCTTAAGTCAGATATATCTGAAAAATTTAGTGTTCTGCCTGCTGTCTTCTGGGCTGAGGAGAGAGCAGGATTGGATCTCTGCATTTTCTGGTGGCATATATTTCCTATCTCCAAGAGAATCCTCACCATTGGCAGCAGTGCAACAAGTGTGTGAGAAACTGACCTACTTTCTGCTGGAGAGAGCTACTTGCTTTGCTGCCTCCTGCCGTCTAAAGCTTCACATTCCAGGGAGGATGCTAAATGAGGCTACTAGACAGAACTGTGTGTTTTGCGTGGGTGGAGAGGGGAGTCCCCAGTGTTTGCTTTATAAGGGTTTGGCTTGTTGAATTTCACAGGCAAATCTGAGCCAAACATACAGAAAATGCAGCATTGGACGCGTCCCATGGCCAAACGTAACCTCATGCCTGCTGACAGAACTGCAGGAAATTCCTAACCATGTTAGAAAATAGATTCTGTAGCCTTGAATTTGAAAAAAGTATACACACCTCAAATAGATGTCATAGCACCTCTCGCACAGTTTGCTCTTGTCTGCAACCTCTTTGTGTGGTAAGTAGTCCCACAGAGCCTAATTCAGCCTCTTAGCTTCTGAAAAGGCACTTACCATCCTAGATTCCTTCACTTAGAATGTGTTCTAATGGCACAGCATCGCAGCACAAATTAAACGATAGATACGTCTGCCCTTGGCTAAGGATGGGGGAGGTCTTTCTAGCATATGTGGGCTGTGTGGCTTCCTTTTACTTTCCTTACTCTGTGGAAGAGAGCCCAGTAATTAAAGGTGCTTTTACAGAATTGGACCTGTAAAACAAAACATTGTGAAGTTATAAAATTAATCTCAGATCAACATACTGAAACCTATTAATCACAATCTGGTCTTCATCCTCCAGTAGAATTCAAGTGAGGATGAAGATTGGTAGGCCTCTCTTGGGTGCCTGTTCTAAAACCTGGCTGTCCCTTTAGAAAAGCTGGGGGAGGGGGGAGGCTTCGAGACTTCAGTGAATAGAGGAAGTTGTATGAATTTATGTGCTCTTTCAGGGGAACCTTGGCCTGTTAGTTCTGGTTAGAATTCTGAAACCCCCTACAGCATTGTTGCAGTGTGGGTTTTTTTGAGAGGTGGGTAATCGAACACGTTCTAAACAGGAAGGGAATGGGTCAGTGTCTGTAAGGACCATAGGGAAGCTGGTCTGGATCACATTTGGCCCATTGTTCTAAAAGGGGTTTCTGGATATGTGCAGAAACTGCTTTCTCCCCCTTCTCACTCCTTGAATACCAAAATCTTAAAAATGATTTATATGATGACATTTATCATCAGTTTGGGCTGCAGTGGGAAAAAAAATCTAAGTTTCCCTTGATTGAAGCAAGCATGATGTTGCTAAAAGTTTAAAATGGTTATGTCTGGACCAGGAACAAGCAACACAAACTTCACTGTGGGGTGTTTTTTCCCCCCGTTTGTTTTGCACAGAGTCAAGAACAGAGTCTTGAGAGGACTTCATCTCCATTACATTACAGTGGTTGGTCCTAAACTGCAGAGTCTTGAATGTAATTGAAAATTTTCCCAAAACAAGAGGGTGCTAGGTTAGAAAATGCCTCCTATTAAGACGAAGCACCCAGTGCAGAATCAGCAGGCTAAAGATAAGCTTTGCCTTTCAGTGTGACCCTTTTGGGAGGCAGAAGGAGAAATCCGGATGCATAAAACCCAGAATTAATTACTGTGGTCCCTCAGTGAGTAGAGGTCTGGCACATGAAAGCTGCAGGTTTGAGATTTCAACACCTATGAGTCTTATCCTGCAGCTTTTCAAGGAATGGTCAGTTTTTAATTTCAAGCATCTTGATCACATGAATCAATTTATTGCACTGTGAGGGGAACAGAACATTAAATGTCAAACCATAGCCTGTCTGCCTGAGTGAAAATTTTAACAGGGACTGTAGAGGAAAGATAATTATAAAACAGGCCTCTGCAGCTCCCCTGCCTGTAATCAGTACCAAAATGATGCCTTCTCCCTCTGAGGCAGAGGACATCTCTGTGGGTTATTCCCATTGTTCCTATAGGGAGACAGGAAATACTTTTTTCTTCTTCCCTTTGTCGCCTTCAAAATAACCCGCCCTTTCAGTTCTGTTCCTGCCTTTTTAGGGAGTAGTAGCATAGTCTAGGCTTAGCTTCAGCTCGCACCTTTTTTTTCTGTACTTTTCTTCCCTTTTTTCTAACTCATCTCTGCTTTATTCTTAATCCTACCTCTCCTCCTCTTGCTTGTTCTCCATCCCCTATCCGGGGGCACAAAGGATCAGGCTTCTGAGTGCTCCTGCCTTTTTTCGTCAGCCCGATGGCAACGATGGAGCTCTCCGACGGCTTTCTCTCCGAAGAGGAAGCAGAGCCGCGCGGCGCCCAAACAAAACACCAGCGGGGCTGACTTGCCTTCGCAGCTCGTTCGTGTCGACAGCGAAGAGGAGCGGGACAAAGTGGCCAAGTGGAGAGCTAAGAAGCACCGCTTACTGGATCAACCTACCACCCCACTGGGGCTCCTGATTTCGGCCGGCGACCATCTTAGAAGTGTGGAGCTTGGCTCCAATACCTTTCAGCCTGCATGCCCAAACACAGAAGGAGACTGCAGGAGGGATCAGGGCTCTGATCCAGCACCGTTCATGGGCTCTCGAGGAGACCCACTCCAGACGGGTAACGTACCCAACTTTGGGGAAGGGCTCAGTCCATTTGATATGATGCAGTGTTTCAGAAGGGCAATGCAGGAAGAGATTTCCTCCTTCTGTTCTAGAGTAGGCATTATCCCTCAAGGACAACATTCTCAGCCCAGCCGCCCCTGGCCCACCAAAGCATCCCAGAAAGCCATTCCCCATAGGAAGTGAGCCAGGGATCATGGTGTTGACTGCTCAGAATCTGATCATGAGGAGAAAGAGGAAGGGAAATTTCTGTCTGATGACGAAGAGATCCCTGCTAAGGTTCCTGAGAATTCCAACAAGTTCTTTAAGAGTGAGGATTACCAGTTTCTGTTGACCAAGGTGATAGCATCCCTGTTTATTCAGGACTCTCCTGCTGATCAGGAAGCCCAGGCATCAGGGAGGAAATTTAAATCCATTGGTGACACTGAGTCGTCCGTCCCCCCCCCACACACACACACAGTGATTGAAAAGGTCTTCCCCTTTCCAGAGTATTTTGAACGTCAACTGGCGTCTGAATGGAACAAACCAGCTGCTAATACTCAATTCACCCCTTTTGGGGTTTGTTTGTTTGTTTTTTAAATCCCCGTAGGGATATTTTTTATTTTGCATATACTACAAACTACAAAGAAATATAGGGGAGGGACTACAACTAGGGATAAAGAAAAGAAAAGCACACTAGACTAAAACCCCAAGAGAAGGAGATCTTTTCACTGTTAGTAAATATGTTAGTACCATTAGTTTTATTATCACAATATACTTGTTGAGTTCTTGCTTATAACAATTCGCTTCTTGTATGTTATTTTGTTAGTTGTTATGAGAGAAGTCTCTGATCATCTTATTCTTTGCTTCAAAAGGCCATTTTCCAAGTCCTTCTGCCTTTACTTCGGCTTTCTGTCTCTAAAATCATATACCACTCAGGCAGGTCCTGCACCCTTTTCTGCCGCAGAATCCTCTTCCGTTCCCGAGGTAGCAGAGTCACTCGACTTCGATTCTCCCTCTTTAGACTCATCATCTGTCCCCAGCTGATGTTTCAAAAATTCTTTAGCTTTAAAAGTGGAGTCTTATCTTCTCCCTTCTATCGTTGATCTTAAAGATGACACCTTCTGGAACTGCCCATCTGTACGATATTCCATTAGTTTGAAGAAAATAAATTAATTCATTGTAATTTTTCCTCTTTTGTCTAATTTCAAATGGAATATCCTTTAAAGTTTTAATAGTTAATTTCCCATTTTCAGTGGAGTTGCTGATGTTGCTTTTAAAATGGCATCTCTGGTTCGTCTTCTTGAAAACTTGACCACTATTTCTCCAGGTAGGCTATTTTTTTAAATATAGTTGGAGTAAGCCCTATAGGCTGTCTCCATTTCGTTTACCAGTTCATCTGCGGTTAAGCCTACTACTGGAGCAATGATCTCACTGAGCACCCTCTTCAAGTCTTCCCGATCCGTTTCAGGAACCCCCTGAAACCTGAGAATCATGTTAGCTTTTTCCATCTGAAGCTGCAAGACTCGATTCTCTTGGCAATTCTGCTTCATTTCCACCTCTCCCATCCTTTTCT